CAAGCAGACAAATGAATGTGCTCACGCACGTCGCAGCACTGGCCCTCTTATTGACCTTGTTAATTATGAAGAGCACACAATTCTCGTCGTGTGATTGCAATAAACACTACGAAGAGGCTTGCGCAGCTCGGAGAAGTAGTCAGAGCGAGCGCGACATACCAGGCAAATCTCGATGCAACGCTCAAGGGAAGCGTATACGTATACAGACCCATAGGCCCGTATACATAGCTTGAACGTTTCAGCCGAACGAAATACACGCAATAGAGCAGAGCCGCCCGGGAGTGCGGCGAGTCAGTCGGGCGGCTGCTTATGCGCCACCATCGGTTCATTAACCAGTCGTGTTCGCAGTCCGATTCCCTTGATAGTCACCAGCAGCGAAACCCCGAGTGCAACAACAAAATGACCGCGGCTGCCGTAACGCGACGCCAACGCCACATTCCTTCTACGTCCAACGCGCATTGCTGAGTGTTGCGCAATCCCTATGCGCTTTGGCTAATGGCACTGGGTGTAAGAAACAAGCACAGCATTAAGCGATGAAGTCGAGCGATCTCTGACCCCCCCCCCCCCCCCCGTTCCGAGCTCCCCATCACGCCTTCCTCCTTCTTTATTCACGTGGTACATAACGGAGTTGGGTAACGCCGGCGCCCCTATAGTAAGCTAACTTAAACCTTCTTGCTGGTTTGGTCGATCCTTGGTTGCGCTCACACACACACACACACAGAAAAAATGAGATATAAAAGACATCAACTCTTTTGCCCAGATTCTTGCTCGTTACCGAATTGAGCAGTTCGGACTAAGCATGCCGCTAGCAAGAACAGTTTCAACATACTAGCGGTCGTTATTAAGGGGAGCGGTGAATCCTTTGGCTACCGCAGGGTTTTTGAGGAGTGCAACTTCGCACAGCAAGCGTTTGGTCAGAGCACGTGATTTCGCTTTGTCGTTTGGTAGACGTCGCTCACGCAAGTATTATGCACAGGTACAGTGGTACACAACCGCAAGTGGTCCCAGTAGAACATCAAGTTTCACATTATAATACATAGAGTGGAATCTGGCGCTAGTGTCTACGCGGGCTCCTTCAGCGGCGCTTGTACCCGCATAGGAATGATGGGAAGTACAGGCTTTGGATGTGCTTCGGATGGATCACGTTGTTGAAATTCGCGACGCTTCTTTTCCGAGTGTGATACAAAGTGATATGAAGTTATATCAAATTTAAACTTGCTTCAATTTTTTGTACGCAAACTTTATTGCAAATGGTTCTTGTGACTAGGCGGTAGAAGTGAAAGCTCGACAAATTAACCACCAGGGTATCATTGATCTGCCGTTGCGTTCTAGATTTGGCATCAAGATGTAATGAATTACTCTTTACAACATTTGAAAACAAACATTCTTGGTTTATCCTCGAAAGTACGCAATATCTATTTATCGAAATAACAGCACAGTATTAAGGGAGGAACACTTAACGTTCTGTCTACTGCGATGTAAGGTGCGTCTGTTCAAACGGTCTGCCCCCAACGCACCTCTAGTTTTGTTTTGAAGTCGAGTCAGAGGAGCGTAGCGGTGCGTCTACTTCGCGTCACCGTCGTTTTGCAGTTGATTTCAACAAGTTTTGGCAAGACGCACTAACAACAAACGTGATATCGGTGTAATATCCTGCACTGGCATGGGACCCTATATTTATGCGCTGTGGTGAGTGGATGACACTTCGCTTAAACTGCCAAGCACGACTTATACAGCTCCAGCGCTTGCAGTAAATTGAGAGGCCTAGCAGTTTTTAGCTTCTTTGAACAACAAAGGCGCAGCATAAGTCCTTTGAACCCACCCCACTACCCACTCTACGCGAAGAACGAAACTGAAACTGCAGAAAAAGACCCGTAGACAGTTCACTGGCTAACGCGATCCAATCCGAAGCCTTTACTTCCCATAATTCCTATGAGGGCACACGATCGCAGCGCCAGATTTCTCTATAGGTGTTATTGTATGAAACTCTGTGCAGTAGAAGTTTAAACGTGAAGCTTAGAAAACGGGTCAAGCGTTCTGTTGTGTTTTTTTTTCATTTTGCGCTGAATCGAATAAGAAAATGCAGAATTGACGCGTATTCAGATGTGGCAAGAGCTGTTTGCGCTAGCTCTGCACGGGTTGGCTAGAAACGACTCGGAGCACTCTCGAAAGAAGCGATGGTGAAGTAGAAGGCCTGCTTTCTGCAACGGGTAGAGGTTTATTTTTTTTTCATTTTCAATAAATACATGCGTCGCCTTATTGACGCAATTTGCAGTTACTTAAAACACGATGTTCGACGTTGCGTAAACGTAATTTTTCAATACGTTTAACCTTTTACATATGGTTTTGCAAGGAAGCCTAGTTCATCCGGCTCATCTCACTTTACGATAACCGTGTGTTTCGTCAACGGTCATATATTGATAGAATTTACATACATACATACATACATACATACATACATACATACATACATACATACATACATACATACATACATACATACATACATACATACATACATACATACATACATACATACATACATACATACATACATACATTACAGTGCATAGCAGGACGGGCAATAACATCCAATTTCTAGTGGAATTCAAGACCTCAGTCAGTAGTGGTGGAAATGAGCATCTTACGAGGAGAGCATTTCAGTTCTCACCGACAAAAGAAATATATCTTATACCCATGTCAGTTCGCCCCGCCACGGTGGTCTAGTGGCTAAGCTGACCCGCAGGTCGCGGGATCGCATCCCGGCTGCGGCGGCTGCATTTCCGATGGAGGCGAAAATGCTTTAGGCCCATGTGATCAGATCTGGGTGCACGTTAAAGAACCCCAGGCGGTCGAAATTTCCAGAGCCCTTCACTACGGCGTCTCTCATAATCATATGGTAGTTTTGGGACGTTAAACCCTACATATCATCATCACCCATGTCAGTTCTGAGACTGAAGGTCAAAGCGTACCTGCTGTGATATCTAACTGCGCGTGATAGCTTAACCCAGCGTATGTACTATGCGAAATCTAGATGGGAGACGGCAGATATAAACAACGTAGTGGGATAATCAGGGTTAACAGTGGAAGTGGCCCAGACTGGCTGGCCGACGTTTCGATAGGAGGACCTATCTTTTTCAAAGGCGCCGTGTCAACCTTGGCGTGTTAGTTTAAAGGGGTTAGTGGTGACGTCAACTCCTGGTGGTGGCGCGTGTCCCTGTCAAAACAACGTAGCGGGATAAACAGGGCTAACAGTGGAAGTGCCTCAGACTGGCTGGCCGATGTTTCGATGGGATGACCTATCTTTTTCAAAGGCGCCCTGTCATCCTTGTCGTGTTAGTGTTAAAGGGATTAGTGGTGACGACAACTCCTGGTGGTGGCGTGAGTCCCTGTCGAAACAACGTAGTGGGATAATCAGGGCTATAACAGTGGAAGTACCTCAGACTGGATGGCCGATGATTCGGTAGGAGGACCTGTGTTTTTCAAAGGCACCGTGTCATTCTTGGCGTGTTAGTTTTAAAGGGGTTGGTGGTGACGCCAACTCTTGGTGACGCGTGTGACGGATCTATCTTTTTCGAAGGCGCCGTGTTATCTTTGGCATGTTAATTTTAAAGGGGTTTAGTTGACGTCACCACTAATCCCTTTAAAACTAACATGCGAAGGATGACACGGCGCCTTTGAAAAAAATAGGTTCTCGTAGTGAAATATCGGCCAGTTAGTCTGAGGCACTTCCACTGTTAATCCTGAGTATCCCTATGCACTATTGTACGACGTGCTTCGAGCTGGTCACGCAAGTCGGTTAAGAGGCAAGTAAAATGCGCAGCAACGTTAATCTTTCAAGGTGGCGACCTGTTTATAGCAGGTCTATACTTTTAATGCTCATAGCAAAAATAGAAGCAGGTGAACGACCACTGTTGTATCTAGTAAGCGGCTGGTCGTAGTTAAGGCGTCCCAAAAAAGAGTTCAGAAGAATAAAATGAAAGCGTTGCATAGTAGAGGAGCTTCGGTGGAAATAGAGGCAAGCCCCACAGCAAGGTCTGGCAGCCAAATTATCTTCAATGTCTCGCACTTAGCCCCCAGAAAACGAGCTCGCATTTTGCACTGTAGTACGAGCTGCTTGCGCGGGCGCACGCTGGAACAGTCCTGAATGTAATACTCTGATGGCCGTTGAAAAAAAAAAGAGTGGCGCTAATGGGTCACTGGAGAACCCCGCAAGTGTGCGTGCCCCGCTTCTCTTTATGCATGGGATAGTCTCACTTCTTTTGGAGGCGGATTAGCGGCACGCCTATTTTGCCCGCTGTCGTTTATCTCCGACACTGCATATTGAGCAAAAAGAGGGGCGCTTTCGGTTTCTCACTGTGGCACCTACTTTCCAACCCATGGTTTTCTACAACTTTACAAAATGAAAGTGCGCGCCTGTCCAGAGCCTTCTTTTCGTGCCATCGTCACCCGTTGAGTGATAAGCACGCCGTTTGTCTCGTCTCCTTTCCACTCCTTCACGTTGCTCCCTTAAAGCCCTGTGCCCCTCTTTCTATGGGGACCGAAGATGCCAGGGAGTGAAGTGACAGTGAACGTGCTCCGAGGGAAGGTAGCCATCGCGTCGGGGCAGCGTGTGCCAGCCAGCTCTTTAGAAAATACTTGCCCCCTCGCGCTGCCTCCTGCCTGCCGACGCTGACGAAGACGGCGACGAGGGAGGTGAGGTTTGCGCATGAGCCGTGTGCCTGGAGTCTCCTTCGCTTCCTCACGACAAGCGCGTCGAGCGGCGCAACTGTGTGGTGGGAGGAGAAGAGGCAGGGGGAGAGGAGATGCTGCCATTGGGAAGCGGACGAGAGCTCCTCTTTTTTCCTTTCCCCGTGCTTTCCCTTTTCGGAGGAGCGGGACTCCCTCGGCTCCCGTAAAAGGAGATCGAGGTAAGGGGAGTTGAGTAAGGGGAGCCCCCTGCGGCCTCCTGCGCAGCAAGCGGCGGCGGCCGACGGCGGGAGAGGAAAGGAGGCCGTGAGGGGTCTGGCGGCGACTCGCTGGCGCTCCGCACTCGGACGAGGCGCCGCCAGAGGCGTTTTGTCGGGACCCGCCGAGGTGTGTGTGTGCTCCTGCCAATCGCGGCTCCTCGTTGTCGTGGAATTCGTAACTCGAGTGGTGTTCGCGCCTCCCAACCGCTTCATATATTTTCGTTGGAAATCTTTGATTCGTGTCGCGGCAAGCAATCGCGCCTACCCAGAGTGTAACGTAATTCGGTTAGCCGGACGCGGTTCGCGTGACGCGTTCCTGCGGTGCCCTCTCTGGATCAGTACACCGTGCATCGGCTGTTGCCACCGTGGATCCTCGCATACCAAAAGTGTGCACCGGAAGATTATGTAAATCTCGGTGGAGACGGCGTCGTGGTGGTGTGATTTGGAAAACACGATGCGCTATATGACTGTAGTCGCCGGGAAATGCGATATCGGCACCGGACGACACTGGGCCTGATAGCATAATTCAATTGGTAATGTGATGTGCTTTATATGAATTCGTTGCGACAATCTTCATGCTTGCTTCTTCATAATCTTGGCGTGACTTTTTGTGATCACTGTAAAATAACTCGTGTACGTTTGTGACAGTGTTTCCTGTATGTGATGTTCAGGTAGTCTTTTATTTTCTATTCTTTTTGGCAATTTAGTTAAAAACACAGGTCTGTTTCAGCAAGTTATATTTTTTTATGATACAACGAAAAAACTCTCGCAGGAATGAAATGATAGGTTGTGTTGTAATCTTAAAGATGTTACTACGATTATAACGCAAGTTCATTTTACACTCATGTTGCTTTTGTCTGAACGATTGCTCTTGGTAAATGTGAGTAAAATGAGCCATATTAATTTCGGAACAACTCTTTCTCCTATTAAATAGGCTTCCTCATAATGGAAGACAGCGACCTTCATCGGTTTCCGTTCAAGTCAGCCTGGTCCTCATCTTTCCCGTGGACTCGATGTGCGGCACCAGTGCAGCCGTTCGACCACATGTAGAGCCGTATGCCAACGAGATCGGCACCTGCGAATATTTAACGCAATATGGCGCCTAAAGAACATTACAGGCTCCCAGCAAGTCACCGCGACCGACGACTTTTCCGCTGTCTGAAGTCAAGTTGTGCTTTTGCGGCCGTGCCACCTTGACAGAGCCCACAAAAAGCAGTAGAAAGGCATCCGAACGTCGCCGTAGCTTCCGCGAAGGACGTGACTAATAGCTTATTATCGCCAATAGTAAAGCTGGCTGATATAAATTGAGAAAAAGACACACCACAGTCGACGATTTTTCATACCGTATAGGACAAACGGAATGTGGTAAGGAAAGCCGTCATGTGCCTGATGACGTGGGTTCGTGTTTGGCTCACGTTGTCGCTGCTGGTGTTGGCTACTGCGGTGGGTGCAGCCGACGCCACACCGACCTCTACAAGTCGTCCCAGCCCCCGGGTGGTGCGGACAAAATACGGCCAGTTGCGAGGCAAGCTCATCACGCTGGGATCTCGGTTCGGCACCCACTTGCCGCCCGTGGAAGCGTTCATGGGCGTTCCGTATGTGAGCCCACCGCTGGGCACGCTGCGCTTCATGCCACCGGTGAACTCGCCGCACTGGGACGACGTGCGTGCAGCGGATACACCTGGCCCGGCGTGCCCGCAGCGGCTGCCGGAGTTTCTGCGCAACGAGTCGTCGCCCGCCGGGGTTCGCATGCCGCCCGGCCGGCTCGAACAGCTGCGCAGGCTGGCGCGAGCCGCCTTGCTCAACACAAGCGAGGACTGCCTGCATCTCAACATCTACACCCCAGCGTCAGGTGAGTCGCACCCCTCCCGTGTTCACACTTCGCATGTGGTCATCTTCGACTTGGTGGTACAGATTCGAAATGTGCCGGGTTCGACACTGGCCGCGGCGGCACGCATTTCGGTGCAGGCGAAATGCGAGGGGCCCGCATAGTGCGCGACATCGTTGCACCTTAAAGAACAGCGGACGCTCAAAACATCCGCAGCTACACACTATGGTGTGCCTCATTTTAATATCGAGGTTTCGGTACGCCAAACACCATTATCATTAGTTCGTATATGCTGCGGCTATCTGGCTTCTTCTTGCTGTGGAACATTGTTGGTTGCGGTACACATATTCAAGTGATGGCTGGACTTTTCTTGCCTAACGTGGGAAATGTTTGTACTCAGCTGTGCGACATTTTATATTCTATTATTTCCACTGTGCAGTCGATTTATTTATCCTCCTGTGAATATAAGATCAAATTAGGTATTGTATTCCTAACATTGGTGTACGAACATTCTAGTGTATTCGCCAGTTTTTATTTGTGCTTGTAAAACTCGAATAAAGTCAGTTGTTCGTTTCGGTAAACCAGCATTTTGTATACAGCATCCTGAGAGTGTACGTGTATACAGGCGCATGTATTTGCGGTAACCCAAGTATGTTATAACGTCACTCAGTTATCGTTATTTGGAAGAATAATTTTTTTGCTTTCTTCGAAGGCTTACCCCGCCTTTAGTGGCACAGTCCGTGCTATCTAAACGTGCCGTCTATACGACAGGCCACGCACACCTACACTTAATTCCGCGTGGTTGAAGCCTCCAGGGAGCTGCTTAGCGCTTGAATGCGGTTCATGCTCCTCCGCTTCAGTTTCGTGCAGTAAATGTAGGCAAGCCATTGTCTTGTATTCCAACAGCCATCTGTAGTAATGCTCATGCTAGCCACTTGACCGCCTGCTCAGATTTCTGCTTGCAGAACAGGTTTTCTTTACTTGCGGCCAGGCATATTCCACGTGGCTGTTCGGCGTATTAAAGATGACAGGAAAAGCTTTTCTTAGATGACGTATATACATCTGTAGAGTGTGCTTACATAAAGCTTGGGACCGATTCAGTTAGAATATCGAAAGGAATACAGAAGCAAAGAGCATCTATGTGGGAAAATAAATCCAGATAGTGCTGAACTATATACATCGCAGCGCCACCAACGTCGTCCAGCTGAAATTGTGCCGGGACAACGTGGAGTCTTGGAGCGATCAAAAAAAAGGCCTGTTCACCCTTAGCGTTCCCGCTTATTGCGTCCATATTGCCTCTAGGGGAAGCAGAAATTATGAGAAATCACTCTGTGGAGCAATTTCACTGCGATACGAGACGTGCATAAGGTTGGTTCACCCGACATTATGCAAAATTCATCCTTTCTATAACGAAATGTACGCATTGATGTTATATGTCCGTGGATTGGCTTCCACTTGATAAAGTTGAGAGGCTGATAACTCACAGGCATAAAAAAAACGTAATTTACTATCGCCAACTGAAAAGTAAAGAATGTTTGAAGTAAATGAAATAAAACTTCATTGCTATAAAAGAATTGTTGTAACAGCTCAGTAAATCCTAATATAAAAGCTTTCATTTTTTAAGTAAGAACGTGCGTTGGACCTTGCAGTTTCACTAATAATAATAATAATAATAATAATAATAATAATAATAATAAAGATAAATAAATAATAATAATAATAAATGAATACGAGGTGCCTTTTGCAGTGGTATACATGGCGATGAAATTAAGAATTGTGAAAATGCTTTATTCTTAGAGGCTAGAAATGACGTTTAGGCAGGCCACCATGCACGCTTCAAATGAAATGTAGACGAACTGGCGTGATTTACATAATCAGATTTTGGATATTTTGTTGATGCAAAAGCGCGTTGCTGTGAACACATTTAAGAAACACCTACGTACGAGTAGTGTGTTACAACATTAATGTGCCATGTCAGAAGTTATCGTCAGGAGTTTTTGTCTGCCTTTGCGAATGTTTTGCTGCTTCATTGTTTGCTTGTCAAAATCTAATTGTCTCGTCATATATATCGCCGCCGAATGACTTACAGTATCTTTGCCACAAAGCGCATTTTATGGGGCACCCTTCACAAACGCTACAAAGTCTACTTTGTCGTTAAATAAATAGTCAAAGGCTTTCTCAATCTTATCGAGACAACTACCGCAACCTGAATAATCACAGGTACATGGCACCAGGAAACTGAAGTGTGAGCGCTTTTTAAACTTCTTATCTCTTAGGCTTTTTAGTCTGTGCGTGTACGTTTTAGTTCATTCTTTTCCAATACAATTCGCCCTTTTCCTCGCTCATACAATATCCGTCGAGATTTTGATACGCGTCGTCCCGTGTCGTCCGTGGCCGTGTGTTGTGGTTTCTCCGTGCTTTCTTCGAACATGAACCCTTAGAAGGTTTGAAACTATCAGCTCGCGCGCGCAGCTAAATCGCAGGTCCGCTTTGGGTGTCGCAGGGTGGCCGTGCTTTGTGCCAAATTTTGTAAGCGCCCTGCGCTCTTGTCGTAGGCTATTCGTCTCGCTTGTTTATTCCCATTGTGGAGTTTGGATACCTTCAAGTGACCCACGATACTACACAACATTCGGCTGCGATGGGCGAGAATATCGAGCAGCGTTGCTTAGGAAACTCTCGCTTCAGGTTCAGTTCGCGCTGGCGACGACAGAGGCCGCCACGAGTCCCACGCCAAGATTCCGTGGAGCAACGTGCCGGATTTGTATCGGCGCCACCAGCCGGCGAAGCTAGGGCGCAAATTTGCACGAACTCGTAGCAGTGATCATACAGGGCATGAAATACAGTTTCCTTGCAATTGTTACTGAAAAATGCTCGTCAGGCTGTGTACAGTCTGGTAGCAACAAATTATCTTCAGCATGTGAACTAGCGCAGAACCGTGAAGTTGAGTAATACCGGCACGAAAACATGATTACGTTTGCATTTATTCAAAATATATTTTAGATGCGTTTCTCTTGAATTATCACTCACAAAAAGCTGAACTGGTTGTAACTAATCTTTTCACTTAAACTTTCCTCATAGAAAGCTCAAAGTAGTGCTTATATTACCAGCTTTGTTGGCAGGCGGGAGATAACAATAGGTGCAAATCAAGAAACAAATACGTAGTAGTTGTCGAGAGGCAAGAATTGAAGGACATAAAAAGAAAGGAACGTCTGAACTTGGTTTTGGGCAGCTTTGTGCTATTTACGTGCCAAAAAATAGAGAATGAAATGAGAGAGAGAGAGAAATAAATAAAAAAACATGTATTTAAATGATTGGCAATTTCCATGCATAGTACTATGTAGCTACAGACGAACAATTATGTCAGTTGCCTCCAAGTATTACGTAAAGGGCTCCATGGCTTAAGTTTTGGAGCAAAAAGCACATATTTTTTTTCGCAAAAGACGTGTTATCACATCCGCTCAAGACGGTCTGCAGGCTTCCTAGCAGTTACAGGAATCCCGTTGAGCTTCCTGTGCAAAAATAACTCGCGGAGGCACTCAAGCGTTGTCGCATCGGCAGCCACGACGTGGTGGTGGTAGTAGGTTAGAAGAGGAAGAAGCCTTAGCTTCATCTACGGCCGCCTCTCTCCGCCACGATTCGCACAGGCAGGGCCCCTTCCCTCTGTATACTCGTCGGCGCTGCGTTCGCCCGATTTTCTTGGGGAGTAGGAGATTGGGGGAGGAGAGCTGGTGTCACGATGTTTGTATGTTCAGGAACAGTGGCACAGTACGTAACCTTTCATTACGTACTGTGGAATTATCTCCACTGAACGACTTCAATAGCACCAACAACGCGTCATTGCAGAGCCCCAACCTGGCGTCACTCGCCACGCTTGTCTGGGGGTGCGGAAAACATTTTGCTCGGACACCAGGCAAGAAAGGAGTCGTTTTAAGTGTCCTGTTCTCTATCAACGAACGTAAAAAACAAGCGGCGCAGCGTAGGTCAAGGTTTGGAAGCGCAAATCACGAGCCAGAGCTACTTTATGCTTGCAATTAATGTTATGGGATTCATGCACTACAAAAGCACTGACGAATGCTATAAGCACGTAAAATAAGGTGAGTTTTAAGTGCAAAGGTTTGGCAATAACGTTTAACTATCCAACGTGGCTGCGGAAAATCTCGCGAAGCTTATATGTGTACTCTGCGGGCTATACTCGAATGCGCGAGTTGCCACGTATTTTCACACGAACTTCGCCTCTCGCAAGAACGAATGAGATTTATCCTGTCACGGACGGTCCGGTATATTGACTGATGCAGGCGACACACAATGTGGTTTTTGTTCGTTTCTCGCTAACACGTTAACACTGAGGCTAGCACCGCCGAACAAGGGAGCGTCGGGAGCGTCTGCCTACTGATCATCCTTGAGAGGACGTTTCTGAATTCCGCTAGGTGACGTGACAGTCTGTGAAAAAAAAATATAGTTTTTGGTTCATTAAGTATTACGGCTTGGTGGCGCTAGCCACCGCCCGATCTAAAGGGTACAGCCATATCCATCCATCCATTGTGAATAGTCGCTATTGTACTCCGTTGCCAACCCGCAGGTCGCGGGATCGAATCCCGGTTGCAGTGGCTGCATTTTCGATGGAGGCAAAAATGTTGTAGGGCCGTGTGCTCAGATGTGGGTGCGCGTTAAAGACCCACGGTGGATGAAATCTCCGGAGCCCTCCACTACAGCGTCTCTCAGAATCATATATATGGGGTTTTTCGGATGTTAAACCACACATATCAATCAATCAATGAGACTTTGTCAGAGTGACACTGGACAAAGTCTTGTCCACTAGAGGAAACGTTATTAAATAGATATAGTGCCAAACGAATGAAAGTCTGTATTCCCTATTCTTTATTCTTTTATCAGGTTGCGCGTCATATATATATATATATATATATATATATATATATATATATATATATATATATATATATATATATATATATATATATATATATTCAGATGAGAGACAGGAAAGGTTGAGAAAGAAGCGCGTATCAATCGCGCATCATTAACCAAGAACATTGGCGATTTCGGCCTTCCCTTAGAGCTCCGTTGAGCACGTCTCCAAGCACGAAGGCTGCACCCTTGACTTTCATTCAGGAATGCATATTAATAAAGACCTGCGTGGGACCTT